GGGGGGGAGGGGGGGGGTGTTGAGGGGTTTTGTTGTTGTGCTGTTTGCGGGGTTGGGGGGGGGGGGGGAGGGTCCAAACGGCAAGGGCTTGCATTCAACACCGCGGATACATCATTAGAGGGCATTCAACGCGGCTCTGGGGTTTGAGAGAGACAGGAAAGGGGGGAGGGGTAAGGGGTTTAGAACCGAGTGTGCGGTTAGACTACAACCCTCCAAAACGGAGAGGGGGGGCGCTTTTGGCGGCCCATATCAGCCTTCAATATCACTATTGCGAACCAATTTCTCCTCTTCTAGCCAGTTCGGAGTGATGTCGGCAGTTTTGAGGGTTGACTAAACAATGGTTGTAGGCTGTCGTCATGAGGCTGAGGGTTTGCAAAAGGTCCCGAGGCATATCAAAATTCCATAAATTTTCACGCGGGCGGGTTCATCATCATCATTTCCTCCGTCCGTCCGGCTGCGCGGCCTAAGCTACCGCTTCTGGGTAACCGTAACGGAGCCGGGGGTCTCATCTGGTTTCGCCGACATATTAGGAACGATATGCAGTGTGACGGGAAGGATGGGCAGTAGCCAATTAAATGCCATTACCGCGCCGCCGGAGTTGCTTGCGAAAAGGGTAGGTCGGGGTGTCAGCATGAGCATCAGCATTAGCGATTCCGGGATCTTGGAAATGACTACCTTATGGGGCGCAGTTAACGGACAGAGCTACCTGGCACCTGGGACCGGATGCATCTACCGAACCGATCCTAAGCTCTCAAGAGGCTGGAGCATCTACCTCGGCCGGAAAGTGCAGATGTGGTGACCAAGTCAAAGGTTCAACCATGCTGTACCTTGGGCTTTCGAGTCGGGGGTTGAACCCCCTTCTGGGGCGAAGGATGCAAGGCGTTTTCCCACGATGATACCCTCTAGATTCACTGCATGCCGTCATCTCACTGGACGGATGAGGCCTCCTTTCAGTAAGGTCGCCCTTGCTGCGTCCTCGAATACCAGGATATTGGGATGGCAATTTCTTGTGTGTATGTCGAGGATAAGCTGGTCATTCCTCGCGATGTTGGAGGCAAATGGGGGCTGTAGAGGAACCGGGTAATGATACTGTGGTACAAGGCAAGGACTCAGTAATTCTACAACGATCCGCGATAACCTAGCCCGTTGCTTAAGTTCAGGTCTGGTATCCAAAGCACTTCTTTAGAGATACTATTCGAGATAGTCCAATTTGGTCAGATCAAAATAGAGAGGGTATTCTAAAGATACAATGATAAAGTGGCCCATCACTGTGATCAAATGGGTAAATGCCCTTGGCACAATGCAAAGCGAAGAGAAAGTTGCCGTCTATGACCCTGGTCCCCAGTTGGATTCAAGCCACGACCTGAAACTGACCGGCCGAAAGTCGACGACTTCGTTGAGATTCGCCTGGCGAAAATCATACCGTCCATCCGCCGTAGCTATCAGACGCTGGATATTCCACCACTGGTTCCAATTTTGTCGCTGCTCGTAGTGTGTAAGCTCGCTCTGGAGCTTGGAGTACTTTCGAGTTCGCAATGTGAACGCCACTATCATTTCATTAGCCCAATATCTCGGTTAGAGGGACGAAATATCACTCACCACCTCTCACGTTACTGCACTTTGCAAATATGTCTCGAACCGACATCCTATCCCCTCTCATCTTGAACTCGCGGGGCCACGTGCCAGGGCCCAGCTCAATGGCAGCGGCAACGAACCGAGCCACATCGGCAACGGAGGTCATGCAGACCTGCACAGGCCGCCCAGAGCCGTTCGTCTCAACAATATCCGCGGACGCGTTCCCGACATCGACAAGGTAGACTCCCTGACTCCCAATCGTAGCGCGGGCTCCCATGCCGTACTCCGCCAACCCGCCCGGCGCAAAGCGCTCGTACAGGACACCGCAGGAGAAGACTGTGTACTCCATCTTGCGAGACTTTGAACTGGCGCAGTGTTTCAGGAGCTCGATGGCTTCGGAGGAACCGTAGTCAAGTAGGTCTTGGCCGGATGATGGGCGGTGGGATATCGAGCCTTCAAACTCTGCGGGGACGAAGAGGCGGACGCGGGCGTGGCGCGCGGCGTGGATGACGTTAATTTGCTCCTGGCCGCGTATCGTCGAGATGACGAGGTCGATGCCCTTGAGGGCGAAACGGAGGCTTTCAGCATCGTCGTAGTCTACTACTGCAACTTGACAGTCGTAGCGTTCTTCCAGCTCTGGTTTTGACTGCGACCATCTCTTAGTGACCTGGTCTGCTCAGTTTTGTCCTCACTACTTACTTCTCTTGACAGGATGATTACGGGGTTCGCATTTTGCGTGATATGATGGGCTAGGATAGCCGCGAAGCCTCCACCACCTACGATAGCTATTCTCATCATGACTGTGGTATGTAGCGTGTGAAACAGATCGAGACTGATGAGAGTTAGTCTTCAGGATTTGGATCCGTTCAGGTTTTGTAATTTATCTTTCACAACTACTATGTTTCAGAATTTAACTCGCCTCAACTATGTTCATTTTCGTAATGGATATGCCATGGCAGACGACGGAGAGTGCCGATGGTACAGACCACACCACTCTAGAATGTGCGAAGTGACTCAAAGACGTTATTGGGATACGACTGGCTGTTTCGATACAAGGCAACAACAAGAAAAGGTCCATAGGAGCATATCCGTGGCCAATCCCGCGTCCAAAGCCAAAGTTCTGGCAGCCAGAGGTCAACTTCAAATTCGATCGAATTCGGCTGTTGACGTAGACAGGAGACGATTCTCTCTTCTCGACTTTGTAAGCCGAGAAAAAAGAGACGCCTTGAAGTGACTTCGAGAGAAGGTGGTGGGGTCCGAGTTTGCATTCAAGTTCACATCGACATCGTGATCGGGGGTGTCGCCTGCTGACTTGCAGACCGGTGAAGGCAGCGAACAGAGGATAGCTAGACTAGCGGAAAGCAATCGACTCCTACGGAGACGGAAATCAATTTTCCAAAGGCGGCCTTCACAGGGTGTACCTAATGCCAATACTATCAGTAGGACGTTGAGAGTGCCAATTAGCATGCACCGCAGGTACCTGGCTGCGTGGGGAAAAGGCGCAGTGCCGTGGACCGATGTCCCAGATGACCGGGTTGCAGGACGGCTAATTTCATCCCGCTGCGGCACGGCTACGGGTATCAGAGACACCTCGTATCTTGCTTCAGATCTTGATACGAATAGCAATTTCCGTTCCTGAATCTTGTTGTTTTCGTTGACCGCATGGAAGTACGAGCTCACGTTGACTATAGAGAGAGAGAGACGAGACCCAGACTCAATGGAACAGATGGTGATGATTTTGGTCCGCGTACAACAAAAAACGAATACTTTGCGTCAGAAGATGGAAGTTCAAGGTGGCGAAAACAGTCCAGTAGCTTGTAGAGATGTCGTTGTTCCCTGAGGTGGGTTGGGTGGGGGGCCGGAGCCAAGCATGTGAGCAGAAAACGACGGTCTCCAGGTTGAACTCGACATCCAAGGCAGATGACTGAGTCCGCCTGCATGTTCGATATGATGCCTCAATGGATGATTGCAATGCGCCTTGCCAGTCGGTGTGGTGTGAGAATCTCCGCCTTGGACTTTCCGTTATCGAATGGGAGGTTCCAGCTCGGGCTTCACGGCGAAATACTTCTACCTCACCGAGCCTCATCCGGGGGATGAAACAAGGTCAGCGCTGTGAATAAATCAGGGTTGCAGAGCAATGTAACGGCAGCTAGCGTAGCAGTGCCGTAGCTGTGCAGATGATTGGAAACCTGGCACCCTGGAGTTGAGAGAGATTCGAGTCGAAAGGGACGACACGCCATTCACGGGTGCCATTGGCGCATACCCCTGCCTGTTCTCCCAGGCTACTCTGCGCAAGACTCAGCCACGAGACTTGGGTGCCTAGCTCGTAGAATTGAGTGATAATTGAAAGTACTTGAGGAAACACTTGTAATCTAGAAGGGTATTTGGTGGCAGGGCGACCCAGAAGTCGGTACTTTGATGAAGGAGGGGAGTTGAGAGATCGGGGTGGGGTCCGTTTCGGTACGTAGTCTCATCCAATCGTTCAGCCCTATGCATGTGTGCCTCAGGACATGTCTTGGGGATCGCACGCTCCAGTCGCACTAACAGTCAGGGGGACCCCATCAAATCCGTCTTCCTCCGGGCATCGTCAACCAGGAACCAGTCATGAACCTCTATTGATCACCCGGCAGGAACCGGACTAGGCCCAGCCGTCTCGTAATTCCCCATTGCGTACCTTGGCTTGTCAAGACAGTCATGCCTGTACGCCTTACTATGCCCCTCGGCGAGCCAACTTGAGTAAGGACGTTGACATTCCACCTCACCTGGGCAGACTGATCTAGAGACTACCGCACCTTATCCCATCATTGGGCTTGGACCCTGAAGTGGCAAAAAGTCTCGAGAGAACGAATGTTCTGGACGATGGTACATACGGTTCGCCTATAACTGGCGCTTCATGATGTTACCCTGCTAGCAAATGTTTTGTTATTCTGGTAGGTTGTACGACCTAAAATTAGTCACAAGATTTCACAGCTTAGCAATATGGCATTCTGCGAATCGTAATCGAAGATGCAAATGCGGTAAATCGAATCCGTCGACTTGAAATGACGTGGTATTTTCCTCCCTGGGCAAGACCAGGCCTTTCTCCATGAAGAAAGTCTTGGTATAGCGAGCTAATTCGTCGCCCAGAGCGTGTTGACGTTTGCGCAGTCCCTTCGTATACATCATTTACTATCTTTAGGTGAACATCTTACTGGAATTGATCTATCTCAACGAAACGGCCAAGATTCCCTCATGCGCTGCGTATTGCCGATACGACGACATGGGAAACAAGAGAAAGGTGGATCGGTTTTATCATCACACTTCTCAGTGATCGATTGCTCAGGACACGCCTCGCCGTAGAATGCTTGAAACAAACGATCCATCTCTTAGGTCCGTATGCATCACGAGGTAATAGAAGACCAGAAGTAGAACAATTCACTCACGAAAAGCCCAGGCCTAGGTGCAAGAACCCCTCTCACTAGACCTCACTGGCTCGTTGACAATTTTCCATAATCGTGACCACGACGAAGTCGCATTCGCGTCCACCAATGAGAGTAAGAAGCCGCTCTTTCTCGAATTGCTCCCGTGATTCACACATGCATGGGCTTCTTTCGCGTGTGGGGGTTCTAGGCAGGAAACTTCAGGCAGAAAACCCAAGCCATTGAAATCCTGTACCTGTACGTACGATGAATGCGACCCTGGACATGGACATTTGAGATGTCAAGAGTGAATCATTCGCGACAGCGCAGACGCGCCCTTCGTGCGTTGCATGCCTGCCAATTATGGCAAACGGATGTACTGGGGGAAGAATTGGATGCGACTCGTTCCTGATTGGAGCGCGGAGCTCAGACCACCAGAGATCCCGGTGAGCTCGGTGAACGACCACTTTCGAGTCAGTCTAACCCTTCTAGGCTCTCACCTTTCGGATAAGATAATGATCCGTTGCCCTAGAATTTCGCTGCCACTTTTTCCTACACCCACAACCGAAATCCACTTTTGGGCTGGGAAAAAGTTTGTGAAGTGTCAAGCTCCATCTCAATCTGTCAATTCTACCCCCTCCCCTCACCACAACCACTTCAACCAAACGCAGGATCAAACTTCTTTGCGTCCATCACATCCGTCCAAAATGGCTCCTCAAGCAGTACGTACATGACAACACCGCTTTGCTGTTGGCCCAGCCCATCTTCTTTCCTCTCTGAAAATGGGAGGAGAGAAATTGGGCGGCGGCGTGAAACAGTAGGCTAACGTCATGTTCCCCAAATTCTAGGCGATCAAGCGCACCGGCAAGGGCAAGAACCAGAAGGTTACCAAGAAGTTCATCATCAACGCTTCCCAGCCCGCCTCCGACAAGATCTTCGACGTCGCTGCCTTTGAGAAGTTCCTCCAGGACAAGATCAAGGTTGAGGGTCGCGTCGGCAACCTCGGCGACCAGGTTCAGATCTCCCAGCAGGGTGAGGGCAAGATTGAGATCATTGCCCACAACGAGCTCTCCGGCCGCTACCTCAAGTACCTGTAGGTTTTCTCTCTCCCAAGTCGTTCTCAATTGCAGATTGCTGACATTTTCGTTCCACCCCCACAGCACCAAGAAGTTCCTCAAGAAGCAGCAGCTCCGTGACTGGCTCCGTGTCGTCTCCACCTCCAAGGGTGTTTACGAGCTCAAGTTCTTCAACGTCGTTAACGACGAGGCTGATGAGGACGACGAGTAAACGGTTTCCATGCACTAGTCAGGTTAAGGTTACTTGGGTCGGCATGGCACTGGAATTTTGGCAAGGTTAAAAGGGAATACCAAAAGTTGGCACCTTCGTGTGCTTGTTGATCTGCCATATATGATCCTCTTTCGTTCTTGAATAATCGTGATACATGCTGCGAGAGATGCGATTCTGATTCCGATCCTGGGTATCCTGCTGTCTATCTATGGTCATCGGTGCCCCATCGTACACAAAGTCTTGTCGTCTATACCTTACGACCATGTAAATGCCCACCCATCTACTCCGGTAGAGCCCGCATAACACCCTCGAATGCAACCAACGCCATTGCATTAGCCGGGAACGCCCTCAAGAAACACGGCAAGAATCCGCGCCAATAGCCCTTCCAACCCGTCTCCCTATACACCGCCGTCGCAGCGTCCTTCCACCTCCTAAACTTTGGCGTGCCGTCATTGAGTCCGCCACCAAGGGGGTCCGTCATAATGCGCTGCTTAATCACGTCCGACGGGTAACTCGTCAACCAGAAAATCTGCGCGCTCAGCCCGCCCGCCCAGAAATTCACCGCCGGCGCGCTGAGGTTCGTGTTCTTCTTAAAGTACTTTGAAAACACATCGTAACTGCCCCACCAGCAGAAAAAGAAGCCCCGAAACAGCAACGTCGCGCTGAGGCCGTGGTAGACGCCCCGGACGCCGTGGTTCGCGTAAATCTTGCGCAGGCAGTCGACGGGCCCGCTGTACAGCCGCTCGGCCTTGTTGGCGGCGTACTGGATCTGCAGGCGCGCCTTCACGTGCTCGACGGGCGCGGCGATGAAGCTGACGGTGCTGCCCGCCATGATGCCCGCGATGCCGTGGCCGTATGACGGTAAGTTGTCGACGGTGCCGACGCGGAAGAGTCGCTCGGCGACGAGACGGCGGTAGACCGTCAGCGAGCCCAGCATGACCGAGTCCATGAACATCCAGCCCACCAGCGGAGGGGTTGCGCCCTTGTAGAGGCCCGGGATGCCTTCGTTCCGCAGCGTTTGGCCGACGCATTGGAGCGGGCCGCTGAAGCGCGAGGCGTCTGTTGTTTGGAGGCGGACTTTGATTGTGTCGAAGGGGTGGCCGACTTCGCAGTTTCAGTACGGTCTTTAAAACTCGGAATACAGAGTGACTAACCTGTGAGTTTGGCGATTCCGGAAAATACTCCGGCGACGAAGCCCTTGTAGTTCTTCACGGCTGCCTTGGGCTCTTCCCTCACTTCTGCCGCCGTAATGTCTGAGTGAGGGGGACTCGCGGTCGTTGTGAGGTTGCGCGCGGCCGCCATCGCATCTGATTCAATCCCAGAGCACACCTCAGGCGTTCACGTTGTTGCGGTCGGGGCCAAAAAGAGGCCTTGGTGTGAAAGAGAGGTGTTCAATCTCTCCTTCTATCGCGACGTATTGGGCCTTATACACAATCCATCCCACAAAAAGTCGAGTTGCGATGTGAAGTGAAGCGAAGTGAACTGTTCGCGTCTCGCTCTTCATGAATCATGAAGCTCGTCGATTCTCGCTAAGCAGAAAAGGAGCCGATTCCGGGGGACGTGGGGGAGCTACTAATCGCATCGAAGCTCGTGCTGATTGGTCAGCTCAAGGTGCATGGCGCACCCCCTGGCACCAGGTTTCCTTGTATAGATAGAGGGGACTAGGTCTCCATCATTCCTTCACGGGGTTATCGGGGAACGATGCCCGAAGTCTTCACGTTGTGGCTTCAGTCTTCTCGTTAGAATGGGAAATGGTAATTACGGATAGTTCGGTGTTGACTGAAACGGTACTTTGTGGTTGCCATCTTTGTTACTATGAGCTTAGTCGCATCAACCCGTCACAGCTTGTAGCAGTTGCCGTTCCCACCAACATTGATAGCTTACAGCGATAATGGAGCTCATCTACCTTAGCCTCTCACCTTAGACTACCTCAGATAGCGTGTATGAGACCCGACCGTCTATGGTGATAAAGTAGTACATGACAGTAGCTGGAGTGTTTATACAATGTTGCCCCTCCTATGGATACTTGAACCACCTTACAATCTATCAGCCAGGAAGCTCTCTCTCTTCTGAAACTTGTGAATCGATGCGCTCTTTGCTTAGTGACAAGCTCCTTTCAAGTGTGGAATGCACCATTATCGCAAAATCTCGAAATCAAGAAAGATCGTAATTATCCAACTTGTATCACATGCTCTGGCAGTGATCAAGAATTCTTCGTTCAGCTACCGTATTGGCACGTGCCTAGAGCTTTCATCACACCCGAGATGGTGTTTCCAGCATTATACCTTAGTTGAGGAAATTTGAGAGCAGATAATCATCGTACAATCTGTCCAACTAAAGAGCCGTGTAAGTACATGGCTACGGTGGGTGATGTAATTTGGCAGCTAATTGCCTGCCCTCAAGAAATTAGACAGGGGTCTAGAGCTTCCTCACTCCAACCCCCAAGGTCCCAACGCTGACGTCACGTGGAGTCCATCTTCACCCGAACACCTGCGCATCCCACCACCAGACGGGATTGGGCAATCTGGTGAACCGTTTCTGCAACACCACATGGCGAGTTTGCTCAAAACTCGCAAACCTCATAACTTCGAGACGTAATCCGATAAATCGATCACCATGAAAGCAATTTACGCCTTCCCGGCGACACTCGCCCTCGTCTACCGGGCTTGGTCGCACCAGTCCCTGACCCCCGCAGGCATTGTCGCCGCCGTCGTTACAGCTATCGCTCACGCCTACCACCCGTGGAACCTGCCATTCGCGCTGCTCTGCACTTTCTTCCTTGCTGGAACGAGGGCCACCAAGGTACGGCTAGCTCACTTGCCTCAGCGACATGTCAAATGCTAAGTCTACTCTAGGTCAAACACGATGTCAAATCACAAATGACGATGGCCTCACGAGGCACGTCAGGAGGTGAAGGAGCACGCACTCACGTTCAAGGTCCGGTCCACTAGAAGCTTCCCCAGGGTGATCAGCGCAGCATAGCTAACTCATCCCCCTCCAACAGTCTTCGCCAACTCGCTCATGGCCTCGTGCCTCTCCCTCCTGCACGCCTACCAACTCAACAAGCGCAAGGACCAAATCCTCGACACCACGACCCTGAACCCCTCGGGCACCCTCTGCTTCTCCTGGGGCGGCGACCTCCTCGTAATCGGCATCATCGCAAACTACGCCGCTGTCGCCGCCGACACTTTCAGCTCCGAGCTGGGAATCCTGGCAAAGGGCGAGCCCCGCCTGATCACGTCCCCCACCCTGCGCAAGGTTCCGCGCGGCACAAACGGAGGCGTGACGCCCCTCGGCATCGCCGCCGGGGCCCTCGGCTCCATGATCATCGTCACGGCCTCCATGGTCTTCCTCCCCCTCTGCGGCGACGACAGCGCCGGCAAAGTCGGCGGCGGGCTCGGCGCGTGGACGACGCAGCAGCGGTCGACCTTCATGCTAGGCATGACCCTCTGGGGCGTTCTGGGAAGTCTGCTCGACAGCGTGCTGGGCGCCGTCTTCCAGCGCTCTGTGCGCGACGTGCGGACCGGCAAGATCGTCGAGGGCGAGGGCGGCGCCAAAGTCCTCATCGCCAGCGACCCGGGCGACCACGCCGACAAGAACCAGAAGCGCGCCACCGTCAAGGCCGCGGCGCTTCACGGGGAGGGCAAGGGCGCCGTTGAGAAGATGGCGGAGAACGCAGATGTCAACGCTGTCGAGACGAGTGATGCGGAGAAGAGGTATGACCCCGAGGACAAGAACCGCAAGCCTACCATGGGCGACGCCAAGCCCTCGCGGGTCGTGGAGACTGGTTGGGACTTGCTGGATAACAATGACGTGAACTTCCTGATGGCGTTCACCATGAGTATTGGTGCCATGGGCGTTGCGAGCTGGTACTGGGGTGTTCCCATTGAGACGATACTTGACCTGTAGACTAGTAATATCATTGACGCGTTCAGCACATTGTTTCGAAGACGTTATAAGGGCCTTTCCGGTCAGAGGTCGCATGCGCCATGTGAATGAATGCATTACAGTACCATCCGAATATCCTCCCCTTGGTCTGTACCTCTTCCTGACCGTCGTGATGTGCCTTGTACTACCGTCCTATACTTGATGTGAACTTCCTGCGTTGAGACGGGTACATGGTACGCGTAACTCCTGACAACATGACGTTTGATGTATGGTTGACATTAGCGTCTGTAACCAGTCACTGTTCTCAATACTACACTTCAATATACCTCCCTTTTGATATTAGGATCTCCAACTTAATTTTATTTACGCATAAGGGGCTCGGTCAGTACGTGCATCGCATCTTAGTGCTAATAATCAAAACCAAAGCAATTATCACCATGTTGAATTTTCAACAGGGTAGGGAGCAAAAAAAAAAAAGGGTCATCGATAGAAAATCGAACCAAAAGAGAAGTGAAGGTTGAAGGGCGGTCGAGAAAGAACGGATTCCACTGGCGCCTCCTTAGCCCCTCGGCCACCTGCCCCTTTCACTTCGGGTTGTGTTCAGATGGGAAGAGAAATGACCTAGGTATTATTCTTGTCCTCTTTTCCCAGGTGGGTTGGATAGGCGATGGATCATCGACCGTATATACTGGCATGAATAAGATAGGAAGATAGTGTTATACTAACCGAATAACAAAGGAGGCAGTTCGCCTTTGGGTAAAAGACAAGAGGTCGGCGCCAATGGAGAATCGAACCAAAAAGCGAAGCGAAGTTTGAAGGGTGATCTCGAAAGAACGGATTCCACTGGCGCCTCCTTAACCCCTCGACCACCTGCCCCTTCCACTTCTCATTATGACACACATGAGGAGAAGTTACCCAAGTACCATCTCTTCACCATCCTGCCAGGTCGATAGGGAGGCCAGCTGATTAAAATTTCTTGAATGAATACCTACTGACCTTGACATGATCACACCTGAACAGCAAAGGGAGACCACCTTTACCCCCTTGCCCACGCTGCAGCGATACCCCCCAAAACCCTCGTCACAACCTCAAAATCCCTCTCAACATCAACCCTCCAACTCCCAACAGCCACTCTCACAGCCTTCCTCCCCTTCCAACTCGTCCCGCTAACATACACCTCCCTCGTCCCGTTGATCCTGCCCACGAGCTCCTCATTCAACCCCTCGTCCCTCGCGCGGAACAGCACAACCATGTGCGTCGTCTCCTCGATATCCCATGCCCCCTCGGGAAGCAATTCATACGCCCCCGAAGCATCCTCCCGGATCCATAAGGCCAACTTCCGCGCGAGGAGAACCATGCGGCCCAATATCGCCGCCAACCCGCTCCGCCCTTCGGACCGGAGGACGGCGTAGGCCGGTAACGCGCGGAAGCGGCGCGAGTTCTCGAGGCCGATGTTGAGAGGGGAGGGGATGGTGGAGGCGCCGGCCGGGGAAAGGTAGGCTGCGTTTGGGTTCGTGAAGACGACTGTTTGGGTTGGGAGGGAGCGGCAGAAGAACATGCCGCAGTCGTAGGGCTAGATATTTCACCGGTTCATCAGTTTTTTTACTTCATACAGCGGAAAGGGTTTGGGGGATATCAGTGGGCAAGGAGTCTTGATGCGGAATTTACCACGTTCAGAAGCTTGTGTCCGTCCACGGTGATGCTGTCCGCGAGTTCCAGCCCAGAAGCCATCTCTCTAATCTTTGCAAACTCGGGCTTCGCCTCGAGAGCCCTCGCAAAGATGCCAAAAGCTGTCAAAACCACGATCGTCAGCAAAGTATCACCCACCTCCCTACTCCAAAATCACACAAAGAGCAAAAGAAAAGAGAACTCACCGCCATCAACGTGAATCCACGCCCCAAACCGATCAGCAAACCCCCTCAGCCTCTCCATCTCCCCCTTTCCCCCCGTCGCAAACCTCCCCGTATTCACCTCTCCCGCGCTCACCGCAATAATACTCACAACCCCTTCCTCCTTTCCTTCCCTAAGCGCCCTCTCCACGGCCTCCATATCCAACCTCCACGGCTCGTCCTCACTCAGCGGCAGCTCCACGACGTTGGCTCTCCCGATGCCTACCACGCTCGCCGCCTTGGAAAGCGAACTATGCCCCATACTCGTCAACACCCTCACCCCCTTTACTCCCGCGCTCACACACGCACCCAGAAGCCCCTGTTCCCCTACATTCCCGCCGCTTTTCGCGATGATGTGCTCCCTTCCGCACGCGAGGCCGAGGATGTTGCTTGCCGTTGCGCCGGTGGTGAATGTTTTCCCCTTCCACACCTCCTCTCTTCCACCAGCACCTCCTCCTTCGCTGACGCTCCCGTCCTCGAGCCCCAACACATCAGCAAGCATCCCCAACGCAACGCTCTCCACCTCCGTAGCGACAGTCTGCCCCGGTAAATGCACCTGCACATTCTGATCCAGCGCCGAGACGATATTATCCGCCGCCTCGGCGACGGGTAGGGTCCCGCCGGTGACGAAGCCGTAGTACCGTCCGCTGCGCGCCTGGCCGTTGAGGGCGGGGACGATGTCTTTTAGGATGTGGGTTAGGGTTGCTTCGGTGCCGAGCGGGGCGAGGTAGCCGGAGCTATTAGTGGAGGAGGAGGATTCCTCTCCCTTTGCACCGGCACCGGCACCCGTACTGTGAGATGGCGATGACCGTCGGGGTAGGGAAGCCGACGCGGCGGCGAGAGAGGCCGGGGATGGGAGGGTGGGGGCGTCGGGCCCGTCTGGGATAGCGGCGCGGAGCCGGGCTTGGAAGGACGGAGATGTCATTTTTTGTGTGTTGAGTTTTGTTTGGGGGTAAGTGTGCCAAGGGGGGGGGTGTCCCGGGGTTGAGGGTAAGTAGGTTTTTAGAAACCTGGAAGTACCAGCTACAGGAAATGTAAAACAGCTCAAGTATGGCCTATCAGTCGTTTGTGGGTTATGTACGAAGTAATAAGGAATCGTATTTACAGGCTAAGAAATGTACAGAACAGCTGGGCGCGCACCTGGCGAGGTTTTTGTGGTTTTCCCGGGATTTGACTCATCACCCCGTTGCGGCGTTTGAATCCCTTTTCGGGGCTCGGCCTCGACCTCGCGTCCTTTCGCGGGGACTTTTGGAAATTTCGGTGAAATCCTACCGGAATCTTACGGAAAAGCACTCGGAGCCGGCAAAGAGGGCGCCGGCGCAAAGGGTTCCGATTTCGGCATTGTCCGGGCCCCCTCATTGATTCTCGGCCGTGGCCGTTCTACAGGCCTGTTCAACTTCCCCGAGGGGGCGGGGTTGGGGTTTAGACAGAAAGCTACGTGGGTGGACGTAACTCAAATAGCGTAAAGAACAGATGACACACAAAGTCAAAACGATATCAAAACACAAAAAGAACGAATTTGGTATACGCGTGCAGGGAAGAACCCTCCGCAGGCCGTGGTAGTCTGGATACGAGCAAGTCGTGGTATGCAAAAAATTCCGGACATCGTCTTGAACCGATAGTTTATCTTACAAAAAAACGGACCAAAAAAAAAAAGAAGCATGTATGTACAAGAAGAATCAAGACCTCGAGACACCCCTTAAGGCCACTTCACATGTGCCGCGCGCTTAGACTGGCAAACGCGTCTGGGCTGTGTCGCCCATTTGTCCACTGCATATCCGTAAATGCCATGCTCTCGCGACTGACACCCGCTTTGCGCGGCCCAACAGCATTCGCTACGGGAGGCGCCATCACCTGTGGCGGTGATGACATGCCTCCACCAGCACCGCCGCCATTCATCAAAAAGGGGTTCTTGCTTCCTGCTGCCATGGACCCGCTCGCTGCGTCTTGGCTCTGCTGCTGAGGTGCTGCGACCTCGGGGTGTACCTCCGGCGTCTGCGCCTGGGTCTGGGGTGCAAAGGGCTGAGGTGCCAGCTGCGGTTGGCTGTACAGTGCGAGAATCGAAGCCTTGTCGGGCCGTTGAGGTTGCTGGGGCTGTTGTTGATACGGAGCCTGTGACGTAGGAACCTGATATTGTTGCTGCGGCATCTCCTGTTGCTGGAACGGGTGTTGCGGCTGCTGCTGGAACGGCTGCTGAACCGGTTGCTGGAAAGCGTTTTGTTGCTGCTGGTGGTAGGGGTTCTGTTGCTGCTGCCCAAATGCCTGCTGTTCCTGCTGGAATGGTTGCTGGTACATCTGCTGCTGCTGCTGCTGCTGTGGTACCTGCTGTTGCCCTGTAGGTTGCGAGCCCAGTTGTGCAAAAAAGGGATTGCTGCTCTGTGGTGTCATCGTCTGCGGTGAGTCCATGTAGAAGTTCGATTGCGACTGCTCGGGTATCTGGCCTAGCGAAGGTGACTGGATTCTTGTCGGAGATCGAGTGAATGGGTTATTTGCATATGCGCTTGACGATGGCCCTGTGTTAACTGCAAGGTTTTGTTGCTGCTGAGGCTGCGCCTGGTTCGTAAAGAACGGGTTGTAGCCCGTTGCTTGCGGCTGGATAGGCTGGGGATATGTCATATTACTATTAAAAGTCATGGGGTTGTAGTTTTGCTGCTGATGCTGCTGTGGAATGGGAGGCGTCATGGACTGCTGGTACATTTGCTGAGGCTGAGCAAATGGCTGGGAAGCCGGCAATCCGCCCGTGTGGTGCGGGAAAAGGGGTTGCGCTGGCGCAAGGGACAAGCTGCCGAAAGCCTGGGCAATATCTTGCTGCTGTTGCGTGGGAGCTCCGAACGGGTTATTCGCGTAAGGGTTTTTGTTCTGGAGCGTGCCGGTCGATTGGGAAGACTGAGGCTGCGGCGGCAGCATGTCGAAGGGGTTGTTGCTAGAGGCTGTCGAGGGCGACTGAGGGTGGTCACTGAACGTCTGATGCGGCGCAGATAATCCACTAGACGTTGACAGGTTCGCGTGCGAGCGTGTCGCGCGCAGAGAGCTCTCACGAGGCCCTGTCAAAGATGGTGACCGTCTATCGCTCTCGCCCAAACGCACTAGTGTCTCAATCGCGCGCTCCAGGTTGCCGTTCACGCCCTTCAACACCATAGCGTTGCGCTGGCCATCGGAGAATCCCATGTCCCTCAGACTGGTCAACTTCCTCTCTGTATCTTCCTGCTCGTACGACACGCTTGCGCCAAACACCTTGGAGGGCTTGTTCGGCAGATCGCTGGGCGAGGGGCTTCGCGGCTCTCGGGGACTCGACATGGTGTTACGCAGTGACGAATCCTTTCTCAGCCGAGACGACAGCGGGAAGATTGACGAGGCTGATCTGAACCCAAACTTCCCTCCCGACTTTGGTGGCAGCGGCGGAGGAATGCCTTCATCTGAAAGGCCCGAGTGTTGCTTCCTCGTGGGGATGGGGATGTTGTTCATGTATTTGGTGCGGATAAATCGTTCCATGGCGGAATCAGCTTCGTCGGCATCGACAGGGACGGGAGGTCTCTTGTTATCGGGGTTGTAAATCTGGTTGGACCTGACATTGCCGACCTTTTTCATATTCTGCGAAGGTTTGGTCAGGGGCGACGAATCTCGATATGGGGCATGCATTTGCACAAACCTCCACTTGTTCATTAGACCAGCTGTCCATGCTCAAGGATTTCACCTTTGAGATATGGGTTCCCAACTTTCGATGGATAGCGGCACATCTCATGCAAAGGAACACGCCCAACTACAGCCGCACGTCAGTCTCGCTCGTCAACGGTGGCCGTCCCAATCGAATGGAAGTCGTATCGATGGGGCGCATGGGGGGGAATATTCGCGCTTACACTCCAAGAGGCCCATGCTGCGAACTACTGTCAGTATTTGGCCCACGGTCTGAGCGGCAGGAGAGCACAGTTGTACTTACCTGGGTTCCGCGCCTGGCAGTCTGCGCACAGGTTGTTCCCCGGTACGGACTGGACCAGATCGTGAAGGACCTTTTCGTTACGCGCCTGCTGGCGCTTGCTCAGGACACCGGCCATGTTTGAGTACGGTACTGTGTGCAACGGTCGACGTTGGCGGCAGTATGTGTTGTCGGGGCGCTGTTTGGCGATTTGGCGGTTTCGTAGGAAACAAGTTTGGGTTGGACAAGGCGCGGGTCGTCAAGATCGGAGGGCAGATCGAGGGGTTCTCTTCGGGCCAACCAGCGGGCGGCGGCAGGTAATTGGGCGGAAAGATGGGTTTTGGGAAGGGGTATTAAGAAACAAGGTGTACCATGGAAATTATGCACTGGGGAAGAGGGAGCCCGATGTCGAAGGTGGAAGGGGAAACGCGACGACAAACATGGCCTCAGTCATGCGTAGAGGAGGCTGAGGAAAACGGACACCAGCGTCGGAGAGTGAGACGGAATGAATGGGATCGCTGTTGGCGGCGGACCAGGCTGCATTCGAGAAAGGAGCAAGAAGAAATGGCCGTTTGTCGACTTTGGGATCGAATTGTTTTAGATGGCCTCGGCGGCGCAATGGAACAACAAAAGAATGCCCTCAGCAATGAAAGACGATGGGACACTCCACATGTGCTGCCCAAAATGATTGTGTGTGTCTTGGTAAGACCTTGGGTGTCTTTCGTAAGTAGCGCGCGACTCAGGAAAAAGGAGAGGCGATCAACCTGCAAAGAAGCACCAGATGGTATACAGGTGCAAGCAGCAAGCGGCAAGCCTAGTAGCAAGAGGGGAAAGAAAGGCCCAGAGGTGGAGGGAGTCGGCCGTCTAGCCTAAAGAGGATAGTGCCAATTGACCTTGGGCTTGGGGAGGGGGGGGGCTCAGGGGCGCAGGCTGGTGATGGGTCTGGACAAAGAAGCCTGCTGCTTCCTAGGCCTAGGTATCCGTAGTTGTCCTGTGAGAGGCGGGAGAGACTGAGGGAGTGAGCGACGAGGGGAAACAAATAAAAATAAATAATATCAAAATAATATCAGAGGGGTCGGTGCCGGTCCCTGGTGCTGGGTGCTGGGTGCTGGCTGGGTGGTGCTTGGTTGGACTGGCATCGTGGGAGGAACGCGTGGAAGTGGGTTCGGGCCCCCTCCACGCTCGGCTATCCGCGAATTATGGCCCCGGCTCACCTCCCGTCGTCATCTTGGGCCATTGGTTCCCGTCACGGGCCAGTGGATCCCAGTTTAATCAGAGGGGGCCGACATTGTTCCGGTGGTGCCGCGGGTCCGGGTGCTGCCGAGCGCGATGTGTACGTACAGTACATATCGGGCACGATATCTATCACACGTCTCTGATTCGCCTGACGAATAGGAGATGCCGTCTCTATGAACTTGGAGGCCTTTCTTTTTGCTTCTGTCTGTCAATCGCACCTTGTCGATTACCTACCACACTCGATCAACTGCACCTGCTCAAGTGCCACTCGCCAGTCCCGTTTCCAACGCTGTGGTGCTGCTGCTGCCAGATCGTAGCGTTCGTTTCAGCTGCTGCATGTCGCCTTGTGCCGCCGGCTCACAACGGCCGTCAGGCAGCATAACTTGAGATGCTGTCTGACCTCATCCCTCGCTTTGGCAGTTTTCGCCGCGAGAGCCATCTGCCTCTCTGTCTGCTTCACTCTTGACCCTCGGCCTACGGATGCCTCGCCTGTTCAGGATTCATGCCAATACTGTGCCGACGCAATTCCATCAGGGGTAGGTTGTAAGCATGGCAGACTGATAGCCATCCGACGAGGCCGAGCAAGGGTAGTTCGGGAGTGTCACTGTGTGTTATTGTGTCTGGTAGATGAAATGCGGCTCACTCGGCCAATCAGCTCAGGTCAGCAGATGGTCATCCGCGATTGCCGACCTGCCGCCATTCACTAATCCAAGGTTCTCAGCGCGCAGCTCGGGGTCTATTATGCGACCGTTTCAACGCTCTGTTCTTGCGCAATA